GTGTGTGTGTGTGTGTGTGAGTGTGTTCGGGGGGCAGAGGGCAGCCAATATTTTTTTTGGGCGGTGTTAACGACCCTCGGTACAGCCTTCCCGTTCTCAGTAATGGCCCCTGTGTACCAAACACCAGCAGCAGGAGAGCATGCTCTCCACAGAGGAGCGGGCGAAGGCCAGCAGCAGCTCCTGGTCCAGGTTATTCTTCCTTAGGTCATGGAGGAAGTGCAGCTGCTGCTGGGCCTTCCTTATCAGGGCACTTGCGTTGTGGTTCCAGGTGAGCTCAGCAGATGTGGGTGGGGGTCACCATTGGGATTCTGATCTGCTACGATGGGTCACTGGAGTCATACGACTTTTTTTATCTCAATAAATCACGTTCAGTTCAGTGATCTCCTCTTATTTAAAACTTTCACTAGACCCATAAAGGACTCCTTAACCTAGTTTCAACAGTTCCTTCCTACAGTTTCATAGCTCACATCCCTCCAATGCTATATGTGCTTTATAAATGTAAAATGTAATCTTTAGAAGGAGATATGTGCATTAATATTATTATGGTATGTGCACACATCAGTTAAACGGGCTAGTTGGTTGCATGCCTGTTATCCACAAGAGTCCATAGTCTGGGTGAAATACTGTAGAGGCCTTGTGGACAACAGGCTTGTTGACCTGCTTGCTGTCTTTCACTGGGCAAAGACCACGTCTGCCTGTTCTCTTTACATCATGCTAAGTTAGAGGTGTTTATATTTAATCATAAATGTATAACTGTTGCTTTTTAAGAAAGAAAGAAAGGACTACTTCGCCCTGTTTGCTTTGACCTTACAACCGAGTGCTTTTTTTGTTCTATTATTTTTTAAAATTGTATTATTTTTGGTGTCTGTCTGAAATCACAGTGATTTTTGATTAGTATTTATCCAGCAACCTCTAAAATATCCTGAAATGTTGTGTGTTCATATACCTAACCTGATGTTGACGGTTGTTTCAGTTTTGCTCTATAAAGTTGCAAACTTGGATATTTAATCATGCACAACATGAAGGTCAAATTTTCTTTCTTATGACTCTATTAGCTTTAGTGTGTGTATAAAGAAACACAAAAAGCTAAGAGATCGAGAAAAGATATTTAACCATGATGTTTCATCATGTTTCTTCATCAAGCATCTGCTAGTAATGAATCATACCCCATTGAGTGGCAGTGCACAGTGACAGCACGTCATTACTGGGCGGGTCATACAGTCTACGGGTGCTTAAACACATGATTGGAACAGCAGCCAGTTTGAACCTTGTCCATGCATGTAAGACTAAAAAAATCTGAAAAGGAAAATGAGAATAAAATTAATTGTAGAAGCTGCCCGTCAACTTAGAATACATATAGTGAACACTGAAAAACACTAAAAAACATTGCTTCCATTAACGTCTGTACAAGTACAAGTGCAATAAAATGTCCACTGAAAGAAGAGTTGTACGAGTTGAACAATGACATAAAACATATTGTCAGTTTTGTACAGTAGCTTAGCCATTTGACTGATATTAACCTGACTGAGCTTCCACTGCTGAAAATGGGCCAAGAAGCAGAAAAACCCTCCAATAATCAACAACTAAAGAAAGAACTAAAAATGGCTGGACAAAGTTTCTCAGCACAGCATTAAAAATTGCATTTTATCTTTTATCATGTAACTATTGCATATAAGCCCCAAAATTAAAGCACAGTGGTTCATACAATATGTTTGTTTAGTTTCTTAAATGCTGAGAAACAAAAGCTCTAAATGCACGTCTTCTGTCTGACAGCATCACATCTGGCACATTAGTATCTTTCTCTGTGTAACAATTTAGAAAACTGCAGATTTCTTCCATAAAAACCATGTGAATTGTTCACTGCTGCCTGCGCCAATTTCATATGATAGCCCTCCAGCTGAGAACCTGGTGAAATGTCAATTAGCCTCCATCCACCTCCACACAGTGTGCTCAGCTTCATAGGGTCCAGGGCTAATCGCTCATCATTTACCCCTGGTACATGTCTGCAGGGAGGTGAGCTAGGGGCAGCGGTATGTGCACATGTGGCTCATCACTTCAGAACACATTAGTTTGACTGGGCTTCGCCAAACCTTAACCAAACTTTATTCTAATCTGGAGTTGAGGAACAGTTACTCGATTTTTATCTTGCATTTAAAAGTGCTTCAATACAAGTATTTTTCATACGCCACCTTAATTACCTAATACAGTTAAATGTCAAAAATGCAAAATGTTCAACACAACATTTCGACTTGATAACCCACAATCAGGTCTGAGGGATTAGCACTGGTCTGGTACTAAAGAAAACCCCAACAAACAAAACCTGGCATTTTGAGTTATTATGTTGAAATTTTAAAATAATAAACCAGTACTTGTACCTGTGCTGAAAAACATACTAAGATCTATATTTGTGCCAATTCTATGTTTGGAATTCAGGCAGGTCTCGTGATATAATTACGACTATGGTTTAGAAAAAAAAATGAATGAGCTCAATTACTTGAAGAGTCATTAATATGGTATTTCCAAACCAACTAATCACCATGTACTGTACTTACAGGGCTGATGAAGTTAAGAAGTGATTATAAGGGTCAGCTATCCAAATGCCAACTTCCAAAATCCTTTCTCATTTGTTCTTGAGTAATTACACATTTATAGCAAAGTGTGTTGATGCATATTGTCACAAAGTTATGGCAGTGAAAGCCAAACAGATGCGTTGTTCCATGTCGTGAGTAATTCAACTCTAAAATTAAGCTCTGACACTGAGCAGCAGAGAGAGCTTCAGAGGAGTTTGAACGCCTACAGCAGTCAGGTTAGACTCTACTCCCACGTGTGGGAACATTAGTCACACCTCGTTAATTTCCCCAGCACTGATGACGGAATCAGGTCGCGTATAAAAGCTGCACCTGTCCATCGTTGGACAGCCAGTGGAGCAGAGACGGACTGAGTGCGCGTGCGTCAGCTGGTCCTCACAGAAAAGAGCAAGAAAAACAAAAGAAAATGAGTTTGACTGTCTCTGTTTGCGGCGTGTCTCTGCTGTTACTGCTTCATTTCGTAGGAGCCAAACCCGTTTCTGACCTTCAGGTGAGTTTACCTGAGCTTTCAGCTGGTGTAAATGTCTCCTTTTATAATGATGAGTTATTTATTGCTGAATCTTTGCGGGTTAGTTTCTTAGCACTGTGCAGAAATGGCAACTTTATTCTAAAAGCATCTTTATTTCATTTCTTCTCAGAGTTTCAAGCAGCTTTTAGAAGAGGAGATCAACGCCTCACCGTTACTCCCCGCAGACGAGACTGAGGTGGAGGGGAATAACCTGCACACGGGCAAGTCGGTGTTCGGAGCGCCAGAGGAACAGCCATGGGACTCCTCTGACCCTAGTAACTCCGCACTGGTGGCTAAACAGAACCTCCTTTCCCGCATCTTCAAAGATCTCGTGAGGACCTCCAAGCGCTCGTGGAGCCGGAATAAGAAGGGTGGGATGAGGAGCTGTTTCGGGGTCCGATTAGAGAGGATCGGTTCCTTCAGTGGGCTGGGATGCTAAAGGTAAGAAGCTGAAAACTTTCCGTTTAACGCTATTTGGAATAGTTGCAAGACAGAAAAAAAGGCAAACATAGTTTCAATGACTTTCTTTTCATTCTGAGTAACAGAAACAATTTGCGCCATTAAATCTTACATTTTATGAATAAATGCAGTTAAAATATTGTCTTGATGCAGAGGTATTTTGCGTTCATGTATAACTTGTTATGATTTGTTAATATGAACATAAATCGATGGTGGAAGCAGTATTATGGTCCCTATGTGGAAGATTTAAGTTACATCATATTTTATTTATTTATTTTTAATAAATTGTCATTATACATATAATTAATCAGATCAGATTTCGTATGTCATTGTGTGAGAACAACTGGGCAGTTCTAGCAGGTGAGGGTGGCTCTTCACTGGGACTAATAACGTGTTGTTCTGTCTGCAGGCGGGGACCTTCAGCGCATCAGTGTGAAACGCAACCAAGAGCCGAGCTCCCCTCACGCCACAAGGTTTTGACTGACACTTTAAAGGGCGGTTGATTCAGACTCTGCTGTACATGGTTCATATTCAAAACTGTGTTTTCCTTTTTCAAATGTGAGCTGTTAAATTATTATAAATGTATTTATTATTTATTTTTTGCTGTTGTATAAGAGTTGCCTTGTAATAGAATGTACTGTAGTAAAACAGTTATTTTGCATAATTGCTGAGTGTTGCATTCAATTCTTTCCTGACACAATTTAAAGCAGCTCCAGACTTTCCCAGGAAATATTTTAATGAGATATATACACGTGAAATAAAGGTGTTTGTGATATGGGGAGCCGGTACCTGAAGGATTTGTTTGGTTTGTTTCATTTGATCATGTGATCACCTGATAGGAAACAACATCACTTCTGCTGATTTTATTGCTTCCATTAGGAGCAATATAGACGTTTTTTAAATGCCTATATTTCTTAAAATATAATGAATATATTTTTAAAAATTTCCGTGAATGCACTCTGACTCTCACCCCATGATAGCTGAGTAAGGAGCCATCCCACCCTGAACTGGTTAGCAGGAGATGGATGGATGAAAATAAAAAGCTGCTGGGTTAGGCTTCACAAGCAGTCCATAGTCAAAGCTCACATATTTGAGTATTTGAGGTACAAGATATAAATCACAGCTTTCAGAGACACTGCATATGAAACATTTGGTTTCACACGTTCTTGACTGTACATGCCAGTAGACCAAAATGAAAAAAACAAGCAAACAATTAATGTTAAAAATGATGAAATGAATCAAACTGAATTTCACCAAATTTCTACAACTTTGTTGTAATTTCTCAACCCCTCTCAGAACAAAAAAGAAACCAATAAAAATTCTCAAATGATGAGCAAAAGTACAAAAATGAAGTATTTTTTAAAATATACATTTTGGCTTTATTAGACAGAAACAGTGAAGGCTGACAGGAAAGTGAAGGAGAGAATGGAAGACATGCAGCAAAGGACCGCAGGTCCAAACCCGGGCCGCCTGCTGTCAGCCATGCTGCATATGGTCATCTGCTCATCCAACTGAGCTAAACTGGTGCCCAAAATAGACACATTTTTTTTTATTATGTCAGTGATTACTTCACAGATAAATGTGCTCTGTCACTGCACTGTTTCTGTGCTGTTTGGATGAAAGCAGAATGTAAAATATATTAGCCTGACATCAGCCTTATTTATCTTGTCTAATAGCTTTACTGCATGAAACTTCATTGTGTTTCATCTGATACATTATATAATTTTATATGAATCATATAATATTCTGCTGTACAGTAACAAGTAACTATATCTTACAAAGAGAAGAAAATAAGTGCTTCATAACTGATGACTAATCCTACGGGTGGGCAGGTAGAAGTACAACGCACAGAAACAGTAAGATGTGGGGTCAGTCAGTCGGGATTAAATACCAGCCCCTCAACGAACATCTAAAAGTTGGAACTGAATAGTTTTTTTATTGACCACTCAAAGGGTTACAACCAAATATAAACAATAAAAAATGTGCAGTTTATTTTCACTCATTTGAGTAAACATTATTTATGTGATATTTGTGTGATGGAACCAACTGAATGTTTACATTTACATTGTTTTGAAATCTACAATTATAAAATAAAACACCCATGAGTTATGACAAAAAGTGGTACCACTGCTGGTGGTACATACCGTGCAGGGGCCTGTTCTTCCATAATGACGCCTTCTCTTGTTCCTCTTCTTTCTTGGGTTTCTGCTGCCAGAAGTATTTTCTGAGCACGTGGTCAGCTGTGCCCATCTTTCTGCAGCTTTCCTAGCAGCCTCTTCATTGTTCCCATCCCTCAGTTCTAACTACCTTCCCTCTCTTTTTTTGCCATCCGACTACACTACCCGATGTCATTGCTCTAGATCCTCATGGTGTGGATCAGTGAATCGATGTCTCGTTCACTCTTGGCATACAGCTTGATGTCATCCATGTGGCTAACAATTGCTCTGTTACGTAGTCCTGTTACGTAGGGTAGGATCCTGTTGATCTTGTATAGTTCTAGGCATTCCAGGATCCATGAGTGGGGCATCAAGTCGTAGGCCTTCTTGTAATCCAGGCAGTGCACAGTCTGGTCTTGCTGTCTCGGGGGACTGCTCGGTCTACCAGCAGCTGGTATTTCCCTCCTCTGGTATGTCTGTGTGGTGTGAATAAGGCACAGCGGGACCACAGATCATCACTTAGAGCCATTTTATTCAAATCACATCACATCACACCACAACACACCCCAACCCCTGAATCCCCATGTTTTTAACTTGGCGGGCTTGATTAAGGATGCCATGCAGGTGCATCCGCCCTCCCTGCATGGCACCACAGACCACGCCACTCCACAATCTGCTAATTCCTTTGTGTGCCCCACTCATGTATTGGGCCATGTGCATGTTCATCTTAGCGCGATTGGGTCCTACGCGTTGCCTGGAAAATGGCCGGGATGCCAAACAAGCTGAATGGTTGTGTGATGAATTGGTATAACCGGGGTGGAGCGGAGAAGGATGTTCTTTGCAGATAAGGGAATCTGCCAGTTGCCCTTGGTTAAGTCTAGCATCGTAAAAAAAAACTGGTCCAGGAGCTCATCGATCAGACATCAAACCTCATTCAACTTCAACACAGAACCATATGGACCCATGTTTCTTTAGTACAAGAACTATGGGGCTGTGCGACTCTTCCACGCACTGTTTGACTCTTCTATCACTCCCAGCTTGAGCAGTTCAGACAATTCCTTTTGCACAGTTTGTCTCTGGCGTTCGGGTAACCTCTGAACGTGCTGTCACATCAGGCCGCATTTCGAAATGTTGCTCCATGGCATTTGTACACCCGGGCAGGGGGGAGAACACATCTGCAAAAACTGCTGTTGCAACACAGCAAAATCTGCTCTCTGGGCCTGTATGAGATGGTTATCACAATAGGGGGAGGCTGGAAAGCTGAAATTTGGCACCTCCAGCCACCAGAGAAGGGTCTGGAGAAGCTACAGGGTCACCAGAGAAGCTACAAGGAGAGACTAATACAAGCACTTTGTCTCCCGGTGAAAATTGCCAGAATCTAGCCGCTCTGTTGTACGGGCACTCCTGGGCCTGGAGGACATTTTCCCCATACCACTGTGGAAAAAACTCCTGGCATGACCCGGATGCTTGGGCAGTTTTTATTTGATTGATGTGCTCTTGAACTTTGCAGCGCTCTTCCTTTATCTTCGCTGTCAGTTTCTGTCACGCCAGCTCCTGTGTTTGGATGAAAATGCTCCTCTCCGGCCCCGGCCGCTACTGGAATAGGTAATGCTTGATTAAATGATGCTCATCAGTTGTGAAGATCAGCCTCCCCTGCTTCCACACCCTAAACCCGCTGCTCCACCCCACCACAGCTGGATTCTCATTCTTATTTGGATTCAGGGCTGAACCTGCTCTCATCTGCGAGGATATTTGGGGCACCAG